TCCATTGGTTCATTAGAGGTTGGAAAAAATGATGCTATTATAATTCTATCATGAATATTCCATCTTTGTTTTTTAGCTGGAATATTTCTATAAGGAAAAATTTCTCTTCATCTACTATTTGGTTACCTGGTGGAATAGTTTATATATAAAAGACAAGATAAAAGCTTACTTCTTTCTCCTTATTTGCTATTTTCAATATAATTACTTGGTTCTCTAGCCTCTTTCAATGCCTCTGATGGTGGTCCTTTTACTTATTATTATTATTATAAACTTGACATATTTGTGCTACTTATTCCAATTTGAAGGTGTTTGACTTTGACAAAGTTTGGTATCACAATGTGTACCAAACTTCACTTACTCATTAGACTTTAACCATCAGGCCCATTTACGTCTAATTGTAGCAGAGATGATCTCCTTTGAGTCAACTGCAACTTATATGTCTGTTTCAGATTTCAGTAATGTGATCAGCAAGAGTGACGTGAAGTCATTGGCTGAAGCTGATGAGCAGGAAGTTGTGGCTGAGGTTCAGGTAAACATATTGGTCCTATAACACATCTCTTATGTTGGGCCTTTCAAAAGATTTGAATTTAAAAATAAGGTTCTTTCTTAAAAGAAGAGAGGCAGTTGATCAGGCAAAATAAATGTGCATTGTGTCAGACTATACTTCCATTTAGAAGGTTTGGAAGAGGTATTAATATCAAATTGGATAGGAACAGAATTAAAGGAATAAATGGGAATAAGGAAATTGGGCTGATGAATTGACAGGAAGGGTTACACAGCATTGGGGACAGAGTCAGATACACACACACACACACACACACACACATATATAAAACTTTTATAGATCTATTATTGCTACTGTTTTATAATTATTTTAATTCTCCCATATTGACTATTGTTACTTGGTTACTAATTAAGCAATTTTTACATCTCTTTACACCTGTATTTCACTGTTTGGTTATATCATATAGTATTATATCACATATGAAAATATTGCTGCTTGATCCAATTGAAGTTCATGGAATAACTGTTCTTGGTGCTTTATTTACAGGAATTTTATGGTGATTACATTGCTGTGAATCCACATTTGTTTTCCCTCAATATTTTGGGTTGCTGCCAGGTATGGAAGGAAAGGATAAAAAAATAAGTTAATTTATCAGTTAGGAGTTAATTTACCAAGTAATTAGACTTGTAAGATAAAATGCAAATATTTTCTCTGAGTATATGTTTTTAACAAAAAGGGTCGAAATTGGGATCCAGCCCAGCTATCTAGAACAACTCAAGGACTCACAGCTCTCCTTTTATCTCTGAAGAAGTGTCCCATGATTCGTTATCAGCTTTCATCAGAGGCAGCAAAGAGACTTGCAGAATGTGTTAAGGTATAGCATTCCCTGTCCTTGGTTCCAAAACATCAAGGCCATTTATTTCCCTGTCATATTTCAGAAACAAAAAGAACAACCAAGGAGATGATAATATGTTAGGTTTACTGAAAAAGAGGTAGGTATATGTAATTTAAAACAAAAGTAACAAATTAGAGCTAAAATTCTCAGATTTAACATAAGAAATATTCACAAGCTATTTAACGTTTTTTGGTCCTATTAAACCACTTGTTGAATAGAGTTGCAAATCCTAACCTCTTAAACAGTATGCTACTAAATTTTATGAAGCTTTTGAATCCTTTTATGGGAGGCCTATACAGAAAGAACTATTGTTAAATGTGGTTTCTATTTATTAATTTTCTATGTATATCATCTCTATCTGCAGCTAACTGGTTGACCAAACCATCTTTCTCTCTCACCCACAGCAAGTGATAACTAAAGAATATGAACTGTTTGAATTCCGGCGTACAGAAGTTCCTCCACTGCTGCTTATTTTAGATCGCTGCGATGATGCCATCACCCCATTGCTAAACCAGGTGCAGAACCCTTTGTTAGCACAAGAGAAAGATGATTTTAAGTGATATTCATCAAAATGCTGATATGGAAATAAACAGCATGGTCCATTTATTTGCCTCCTTATTCTTAGCTATTCTTGGTTTCACCTTGTGTTTCCTCTTCCTTCCATAGTCATTGTTAACTTTTTCTTCTGCCACTACCCCCACCCCTAATCAAAGCAACTTCTGAATTCTGTAGATTCTAATTTCCAGTGTTTCCTTCTGTGTGATCTTTTCCATTCTCACTACCATTGCCTTGATATAGACCCTAATCTCTTGTGGGAAAACTAAAATAGTCATCTACTTGATTCCCTACTTTTAATTTCTTCTCACTCTAATATATTCCACAGACACAATGTTATTAAAGTACTTTTTCTAAAGCACAGGTCCGATCCTATTACTTCTGGCTTAAAAATCTTCATTGGCTCCCATTTGCCTGCTAGGTTAAAAAACAAACTCCTGAACTTGGCATCCAAGAGCCTTCACAATGTGGGCCAAACCTCATATAAAACCCACAGTTCACTGCTATACGGATATGCCACATGGTTTCCTGCCATCATGCTTTTACTATGATCACTGTCTAAACTCTGGAATTTTTGAAATACCTTCTCTTCCCATCTTTACCTATCAAAATACTTCTCCTTTAAAACCACTCAAAAGCCATCTCCTTGAAGCCTATATTCTTTCAGTCAGACATGTTCTTTTCTCCTGAAAATCAGTGTAGACCTTTATGTCTCTCTTATGTCTCATGCTGCACTTGCCACGTTGTACCTTTGGTTGTTTTCATCCTCTCCTAGATTATACATTCCTTAAAGGCAGACTGTGTCTCCCCGGTGTTTGTTCTCCTGCAAGTATAAGCACAGTGCCTTGTATATAGTAGGTATTCTATTAATAGTGACTTTGAATTTATAGGGAAAGTCACATTCTACATACCAATTTCTTCCTAACTTAATGCTAAGGGAAATCTGTGGCTGTGTAATGAAACTTTTCTACATTATAAGATACCCCTATACTCCTAAAATTCGAAGTAATACATGTATATACATATACATGTATATATACATGTATACATATATATACATGTAAGGGAAAAATTACATATTTCCCTTAGCATTAAGTTAGGAAGAAATTGGTATGTAGAATGTGACTTTCCCTATAAATTCAAAGTCACTATTAATAGTGACTAAAGAAACTTCTGATAATATCAAAAAGTAGAAAGAAAAATAATTGCCTATAACTCTGTTTCTCAAAGAAAAGCGACAATTCACTCAACAAATTTCATTAAGGATTTGTTATGTGCCATACACTGAACTAAGTACTGGAGATAAAAGGTTAAAAGATACAATCTCTGCCCTCAAAGAGCTCATGGTCCAGTGTTGAGAGAAGTAAACAGATAATTTTAATTACAGAGTAAGTGCTATGGGAGATGCCCATAGAGGTGTAAAACATTTTGTTATACTGATTTTAAGTATCCTAATGGAACTTGCTTTTTCAAGAATTCTTTTAGGGAATCTTGTAGGAAATAAAGCATCTTCTTTTAAAACCTTAAATTATTTCTTAATAAATCTAATCTGCTTAAGATAAAATATTATGTATATAAATATTTTTAGCATTTAGATTCTATATTTAGAAGGTAATCTGCTGAAAAATACTTAGTTTTATCTAATGGGCCTACTACTGAAAGTAACCCATTCTCCATAAATGATGAAAAGGCAAAATTTTGGGATTTCTCCTTTCCAGTTTTACCACATAACTCTATTTTATAAGACTGGAAACCAATTCTTCACAATTCATATTAGGTAAAAATATGCAATAAAATGGATTCAGAGACAAGTTTCTGAATATGCCAGTGTTTTGATCAACTCATAAGGTTTTTTCTGATAATATTAGTGTTCCCAGGATAAATATAGTACCACTCAGATCTGCAAGAACACACTTCTCACGCTGCAGAAAACCACAGAAGCGTACAGGAAATAGTACAGCTTGTAACTGCAGTACCAATATAGCTCTATCTGTGAAGCCAAAACTGTACTCTTAATTCACAGACAAAAATTGGAGCTAATGATAGATCTAATTTGTTTTCTTTCTATCAAGAATATATTAATCTTTCTATCCTTCCTCCAAAAGTGTGAAATCTAAAAGTATTTTGACTTTTCAGTGTTTAACCAATTAAAATGACAATCTTAATGCTTATTGTAGCACAAAGTATTAATAAAATTTGAACTAAATAGAGAATCTCCAAGAAGACCAGTTACTAAGAATGTTATCAATTTTTATTTATTTTCCTGAATGTTTACTATTTCCATGTTTTGTCAGTTACCAATTTTTTTTGTCATAATTCTTTATTTAGTGGACATATCAGGCCATGGTCCATGAACTACTAGGGATAAACAACAATCGGATTGATCTTTCCAGAGTGCCGGGGATCAGTAAAGACTTAAGAGAGGTGGTCCTATCTGCTGAAAATGATGAATTCTATGCTAATGTAGGTGGTTTTTACATTTTTTAAAATTGTTTTTAGCTGTTTTTAATGTAAGAAGGTCAATATTGTCTTGTTAGAATTGGAACAGGTGTGGGATTTCATATGAAAGGATGATAGAGGTGTCCTATAGATACTGCATCTATACTGAGATAGACTGCATCTCAAGGGGAGGCAGAAGATTTGGATTCTGACCCTTTAGCAATATCTTTTTTCATGGAGACCACATAGTTATTTATTTCACTCCCTTACAGTAGCTCTTTGTGAGAATAGTAATGGTATTCATCACCAGTATCCTGGCCAATGTCCAAATTTGGTAATTAAAATGGAATTTTCCTGCCCTTCAGTTCTGTGTTCAGGATTCTTTTTGACTTCTTTTAAATTGTCTGAAAGTCAGACTAGATGATGAACTGTGCTTCCATCTTCTTTTTTTCCAGAATATGTATCTGAACTTTGCTGAGATTGGTAGCAATATAAAGAATCTCATGGAAGACTTTCAGAAGAGGAAACCAAAAGAACAGCAAAAGCTAGAATCAATAGCAGACATGAAGGTAAATCAAACATGTACATGGATGACCAACGTATGAGACTTTGGAACCATTCATGTAAGCAACATTTCAGGAATCTTCTGGGTCTCATTTCTACCTTGATTCATTTTGTTTGGTTTGAGACATTTTCTGTAATGTCTCTTTCTAGTAAACAGTATAGTGAAAACTTCCCAATAAGTCATGTGCTTCTTTCCATTCTTCAGTCACTCTTCTGGACTATTTAAAGACTCAGTCTACCAGTATATACCAGTTCTTCTCTTCTTAAGCTTAACAAAATGCCATTTGACTGAGAGTTGTAAGTACTTTAGTCTGGGCCAAAAAACAGTCCCTCTGGGTTTTTTGGTTTTTTTTTTTTTCCCGTCTTTCTATATGCCTATCCTTGGTCAAAAAATAACAGAACCTCCCATTGATGTGTTTCCCATGGCAGGCCTTTGTTGAGAATTATCCACAGTTCAAGAAGATGTCTGGGACTGTATCAAAGCACGTGACAGTGGTTGGAGAACTGTCTCGATTGGTCAGTGAGCGGAATCTGCTGGAGGTTTCAGAGGTTGAGCAAGAACTGGCCTGTCAAAATGACCATTCTAGTGCTCTCCAGGTCAGTCCAATTTGATGAGCACCTACTATGTGTAAGGCACTGTGCCAGGCAGAGCAAGAGATACAAAGGCAAGTAATCCTTCTTCACCAACATGGAATTTAGTCTAACAAGGAGTTGAGACAAGAACTCAAATTAATATTTTTTAATATAGATA